CCATGCACCAATTTTAGATTTGCCAGACCCCGATCGTCCTGTTATTGTCGTCTATAACGCTGCAATCTTTGCCATCGGCTGTGCACTGCTGCAAGCAGACGCTGAGGGGCTTGATCAGGTGATCGCGTTCAAATCTCGCCAGCTAATGCTGCGGAGAGGAGTCTATCTATGACAAGAAATTACTTGAGATGAAGCTTGCACTTGTCAAATTCAGGACGCGTCTGCTTGGCTCAAAGCCGTTTTGTTATCTTCACAGATCATGCGCCATTACGCACTGCAACTCAGTCACCTCATCTGTCGCAGAGGATGGATAGGTGGCTCCGATTCTTTGCAGAATATAACTTCGAGGTGAAGTATAAGCCAGAAAAGCATAATGCTTTGGCTGATGCGTTGTCACGCAGACCGGATTATGAGCTTGATCATGTCATGACGGTGACGTCGTCAGTGACGAATTTGATCCGCGCCGCATACTTGGGTGATGGTATGTGTGTAGCGCTGCTACAGCTCTCAGGAGCAAAGAGTTTTGAAGCTCGGACAAGATATTGTCGGCGTGTTTGCGCGCACGGTAACACCGATATTCGGTGAAATACGGTTTGCTGTATTATAGCACCGATTTAATGGATACGCCACAAATTGTCGCTCCCCACGATATGAAATTGAAATATTGTATCCTCTGGCCCACGACGCCCCACTCAGTGGTCATCTCGGTCGTGAGAGGACGTACACCTTGGTGAGTTGACACTATTGATGGCCCAGGCTGTTCAAATGGACCAGCACATAGGTGCGCACGTGTGAGACGTGTCAGAGGGTAAAACCCTCTCCGAATGCAGCGGCGCCGCTGGCCAGTTTACCGGTACGCTGTGGGTGCCGGCAGTCCATGAGTATGGACTTTGTGTTTGGCTTGCCGAAGTACTCGACGGTCAACACGAGTGTGGTGGTCTGTGTTGACCGGTTGAGCAAGATGGCCCATCTTGCGGCAGTGCCGGACACAATCGACGGTGTCGGTACAGTGACGCTATTTTCGATGGTGTCTTTCGACAGCATGAACTCCCGGAGTCAATTGTCTCTGATAGAGAACCACGCTACACTAAGAAGGTGTGGTCTACAATTTTGGGGTGCCGGGCACCAAGTTGACTATCTCAACAACGGACCATCCGCAGACCGATGTTCAGACTGAGCGCGTGAATTGCGTCGTTGAAGACGTTCATCGCAGCGTCTGCGCTGAGACGCCGAAGTGCTGGAGCGCCGTGCAGCAACTTGTAGCGCTTGGTCTGAACAATGCAGTGCATTCATCATCCGGGTACACACCTTTCTACGTGAACGGGCTTGTATATCCTCGCGTCCTGCCGACGCTGCCATCCCATGGCTCAAGGCTTGATGGGGGAGGAATAGTCGAACAGCTAGATGATGTCGCCTTCTCACTCTCCGTTAAGAGTTTGGTGACTATCTGTACACTAGACTGAGTATCTTGCGACACTTTTGCAATGCATGGCTGAAGGCCAGAACATGTAGAAAGAATATGCAGATGGAAGAAGCGGATCAAATATTGACAAGTTTGTGGTCGGAGACCTTTTGAAATGCTAAAACCCTTCCTACACATGCAGTATCTGCTGTCTATAAGATCAAGCTTCGTCCATGGTTTATTGGAACTTTAAGGTCGTCGCCAAGCGAGATCATACGCTAAACTTTCCGAGAAGGATGTGCACCCACCCGGTGTTTTTTGTGAGCTTGCTTAAGCCATACCAGGATCCGGCGCAAGTAAACGTGGAAGCGTTGGCGTCGGGGCGGCGCTCATAGGCGCTCGGCCGCCCAGAAGCTAAGCTAGCAACTGCTTTTGAGTACGGAGTGCAACGATTTTCGTATCCAACGGCGCAAGGCGCTCCACCGCCGCACCAAGTGACGTATTCGTAGGCTCAATGGCTAGGAGCGGCTCGACAGAGCGCGATAATTCTCCACGTGAGGCAGTCGGAGCAAAAAGTGCTTTAGGCTCACAAGGTTTTCCGCATAGCGGTAGACGACCTCTGCACGGCTGAGTGCCGATGACGACGGACTATGTCCTCCAACACTCGAAGAGCATCGCGAGTCACCGGACGGCGATCGACCAAGTAGTCATCGCCCACCGCCGACTCTTCTCAATGATCATTGTGGCGTCCACTGCCACGTGGAACGCCTTGTGGGTCGACGTCGTTGACGGGTTTAAACCCAATACCTTGTTAAGTGGTGGAATTCCCAAACCCCGAGAACTCGTGGGAGGTTGAAGTGCCACTTCGGCAAGACTGTCCAGACATCGTGGACGCTTATGAACAGGAGGATCATGACGCTTCGCGTTGTTGCACGCCCCTCCCTTTTCGGCGGTAGTTTGGGAAGCCGGAGGGTCATGAGCTGAGCTCAAGCTGTGACCCTGAGCTGCTGTGGTCATAGACTCACCCGTGTAAGGAGCCACAGATCTCGCGGGCGCGTGTATTCCATGTGTCGTAGGGCGACAATACACAGGAAGTCGGCGCTGCGCTTTGCGTTTAGCAAATTCAAATCAAAGATGGCGCTCTACACGCTCGTCCACTTCCTTGTCGCATCGCTGTAAGTTAGACAGCTAGAAAAGTTTCCGATACCGCTGCACCCATTGCTTAACGAGCTCGTCATCATCTGCAGCGGCTTCGCCAGAGGCGCTTACCGAATAAACCGCACTGCAGGTACATAAGAACCTCTTTTTTGAGCTCGAAGTCGAGCGCGGTACCGATCCATTGGGATTTTTTGTGATTCGGAGAAATTTCAGTTGATCAAGCTCAGCTTGTATATTGGCCGGGGGGCGACTACGTAGACGCCTAACGATCGAGCGATCGCGTCTTTCGCTTCAGTAGCGGGATCCGTCGAGCGGAAGCCGTACTCCTCACGAGTGTCTAGGACCGAACGTGGATACGAGCGCATGAGATCTTGTGGGGAACGGACACGGTGTTCGCAAGGTAAAAGTTGGGCTATTGTCGCGCCGTTGGCGCACCTCATCCTCTTCGTCTTCCCATGCTGGAAAAAGAGTATACGACTCATGGTCGACTTCCTCCAGCTCCTTGACGAGGAAGCCCGTCGCCCGGGGCGGGGCGCGGTGTGTTGCACTCGATTGCCGAGGGCATGACATTTGCATCCCGTTGAGCCTCGTAAGTGCTGTCCAAAGATGCACCCTGTGCAGACGAAGAAAGTGTTTGCGCGCGGACGCCCTCGGAACTAGTTAGGCTGGGTGTTTTACGTGTCATAGACTCAGGGCTCATTGAGCGGAGAAATGTTGTTCCTGAGAGCGTAGTAGCGTCTCAGACACGCGAACCTCGTTTGAGGCGACAGCTACATGTGAATCGTGGGTATTCGCAATCTTAATAGGGGAGAGTGTAACGGGTACGCGTACCCTTGTTTGAAAGGGTGGTCCGCACAAGATGGAGTGACCGTACATAGGTGTGGATTGCACAAGTTAGTGTAATCACACATGTTGTGGCTACACCGTATCGAGAAGGCAGAATTGCCAGCAGTAATGCATATTAGTTATGTTTTACTACATTAATTAGGTTAAAGGTTTTAGATATAGGCGGCTCTGCCGCAATTAAAACAGTTGAATACAGTTTTAATAATGAACGGAAGAGTATTTTTACATTGTCTCAGGTTTCGGGGTACTCCTGGAGGCAGCGGAATTCGACCCGCTGCACACGTACTGGTCCTTGTAAAAGCGTAAGGTCGGAGACCAAAGCCTAGCTTCCATTAAGCAAAGAGCTACGGCAGTCCCGCTGTACGTTTGGCGATTAATTTTTGGCCTGTAGTGAACGGACTACGGATTCTCCGTAAAAAAACTTTCCTTCGACAAAAAAGGATAAATGCACTTTTCTCTCCACGTGGCTTCGCCGTGAAGTGAGCTGCTAATTTAACACGAATTGCGTCAGCTTCACCATCTGACTTGCAACCAGCTAACTGGTCGTCGAAATACAACGCAATCAAGATTGAAGGTTTATTTATTGAGCTGTCGGGTCGGAAAAATAGACAAGAATCTGCACTGCACTGCGCAAGACCCATCGACAAGAGAACCGAGTGGATTTTCTAAGCCATACAGCTGCAGCGTGTTTCAGGCCGTGTACGCGGCGTCGTAGCATGGTTACTATCCTAGCTCCAACTGTTTTCCTTCGTAGTAGAACCATATACATATCTTCTTCCAAAAATCCGTTCAGAGATACGGTTTTTACATCAAGCTGTCGGATCACCATTTGTGTACTGCATCAAACCGCCTAGACACACGGATTGTGTTTGAGTTTGAACGGGTAAACAAGTCTGGAAATAATCGACATCATAACTTTGCTGGTATCTAAGGCGCCATGTGGCGAGCAATTTTGTAAATTTCATTAAAGCGGAAACCTACATATACCCAATGACCTTCTTACCTGGCGGTCGACGTCCAACATCCAAAGTGTTGCTCTGTTCGATGAGCTTTTTTCTAATGGTTGCTTCTGGTGACGCGATTACTCTGTGAGAGCTTGAAGGTACATTGGTCGCTGACAATGTGATCTCATAATAATCGATACGTTGGCGTTTTGACTCAGACTCACTTGCTTCAACGTCCTTTGATGTAATACCTGCGAGG